GAGAGCAGAGAGCTCATTTGTTTTCCTGGTGGAGGCAGGAGCAGATGTGATGCCGAGCGACCTCGGGCTGCAGTGGGAGTGAAGCCCAAGCCTGCAGGATCTTTTTGGGAGCTTTTGACAGATGTGCTGTGACGGCGCTTTGAAGGAATCTCGGAGGCGGCGTTGAAGCGCTGCCCAGGGATGGCTTGGCTGGTGCAGTTCATCACCCTCCATGTTTATCCAACCACTTGTAGTTCTCTGCAGACACCAGGAGCAGGATGCTCACACCTCACTGCAGCCAAAATCATGGAATCACAGAGTGGTTTGGATTGAAAGGACCTTAAAGACCATATCGTTCCTCCCCCTGCAATGGGCAGAGACACCTTCCACCAGCCCAGGTTGCTCCAAGCCCCATCCAACCTGGCCTGGAACACTCCCAGGGATGGGACATCCCATCCATACATAAATAATATATAGGGGTTTCAGAGTGAGGGGTTTCAACATCCATCCAGTCACCTTTTCCTACCCTTTCCTGAAGATTTTGGGGTGATTGCAATGATTTCATTGCTAGGCATGATCTATGAGATGAGTTCTTTGGGCGCATGTTAGCTTTGGCTTCATTGCTTTCAGATCAAATCTTGCTTATTTCTCCCTTTTTTCCTGTCCCTTGGGAAAAGAGACATCTGACACAGGTTTTTTCTCTACTGTGTGGAGTGTTCGTCCCATTGGAGGTTGGTACAAACCTTTGGCAGCCCTGAGATGCCACTGGAGACCCTATAGTTAGAGAACTTTGCTCTTTCTTTTCATATTTTTGCTTTTTGCCCTCTTTTTCAAGTATAGTTCCTCCCCCTCCTGTTAAACACTTGTTCCCTGATTGCAGGATGTGAAGTTACCCCTGATGTGAACATCTCTGGTCAGAAGTTTAACATCAAACTCCTGATTCCAGTGGCAGAAGGGATGAACGAAATTTGGCTGCGCTGCGACAACGTAAGTTTATCACTAGGACTAAGCACCTCTGCTCCCTTTGCCCACCACCAGCTCATGCTCAGGTGTGCTGTATGGCTGCTGTTAATTCAAAATTAATTAGAAAATGCACTCACCTGTGTCTGATGTGACAGTTCCAAACACATTCCAAGTCACTCATAGGAGTTCGGAGCAGAAAATCAGTGCCTGCTCTGCCTTGGCTTTGTTGGGTTGGGTTTCTGCTTATCTTTGTGCATATTTGAGTCTCCTGGGGCTGGAATGGGAATAAAGACTCCCTGAGAGTTTTATTTGGAGGGTTGGTGGTGCTCTCACCTCTGTGTGTCTCTGTGTTGGGGCACAGGAGACGCAGTATGCCAGCTGGATGGCCGCGTGCCGCCTGGCCTCCAAGGGCAAGACAATGGCCGACAGCTCCTATGGCATGGAAGTGCAGAACATCCTCTCCTTCCTGAAGATGCAGCATTTGAACCCAGACCCACAACTGATTCCAGAACAGATCAACACTGATATCAACCCAGAGTGTCTAGTTTCTCCTCGCTACCTGAAGAAGTACAAGAACAAGCAGGTAGGTGCCCTGGCCTTGGCCTTGGCCTTGGCATTGGTATTGGCGTGCACTGGGCTGCCCACGGGAGCTAGTGTCTAACACAACGTGTTTTGGATGTCTTCACTCCATGGGATGCACGTGGGTACTAAAATGGGATGAGGCTGGTGCGTGTGGTTTGGATGCAGCACCTGGGGATGGCCCCCAGCACCTCGGTGTTGTGTGATGTGCACGGACACGGCCGTGGCAGGGAGGGATCTTTCGCTAGAATTCCATCTCAAATTGGTTTATGTTTATTCTAAATACATTTTGGGAATGGTTTTGGCTCTGCTGACACCAAGCAATGGGGTCAGCTGCCCCATCTTGCCCCACAGCTGCACTCAGTCCCCAGTGTAGGGATTAAAACCCCTTTCCCTGCACAGAATCCATGGAGAAATCCCCAGGATCAGTGGAGTTGCTTGCAGTGCTTTATCCACACTTGGCTGTAGTGCAGTTTGCATATTTCTCTCTTTGCTTTTCCACTGCTTCCAAATGCCAATCCTTGGACATTGCTTCATTTTTGAGTTGCTGTGACTCCTGCTTGAACTCCTCCACGCTCCATCCGATCCCTGCATGACAGGGCTGAACTGTTCCATGCTGGAAGTTGAACTCCTGACTCTCTGAAAGACATTCTATGTCAGAATAGCAGCAAAAAAAAAAGAAGTAAAGCATTGCTCTGTGGCCTTTTGGGGGCTTAAATCCTTCAGCCTGGCTGCTGGCTATGGCTGGATCCGATTTCTCCAAGCCCAGAAGAAAGCTGCAAGGCAGAGAAGCAGGAAAAATATAACTTTTTATTGGCACAGCATGATGATTTCCTGGCAGCGGAGTTCCATTTTATATAGCCCTTATTCTTCTCCTGAATAAGCCTTTTATATCCACTTGGATGGAGGAGAGAGACACTGCAAAAACAGACTATTTTAACATATATATATATATAAATACTTTCTAGGATTGAACTTGGTAAAACAGAGGCACCTGGAAAAATATTAGCTTGGAAAACTTGCTTACTGTGCAGGTATCTTGGTTAGGAAAATAAAATCCATTGGATCATGGGGATGGACAGGAGGCCTCATCCTGCTCCAAGCTGGAACTGCAGCCACGATGCTATGAAGGTCCCTCATAGTCATCAGCTCAGCAGAGGATTTAAGATTTTTCCTCATGGCCAGAGGCAAAGCTTGGAGCTGTAGAGGATGTTTGCAGGGAGGAATGAGGGATGGAGGCTATGGGAATGTGAGGAATTTGACCGCAAGGGTCCCTCTGCGACCCGGCACAGGGAAGGAGGAGGAGGAGGAGGTTGTGTAGCCCACAAACAGTGCCAGAATGGAGAAGAAGGAGGAGGGAGGAGGAAGAGGAGGTCATGCAGCCCACAAACAGTGTCGGAATGGGAATTGGCACTGGCCTTGCTGGAGGATTTATAGAACCACTTGGTCCTCACCAGCCCCAGACCCACCTGGGTGATGTTTGTCCTCACCTGCCCATGGAGCAGTGCAGGGTTGGCAGATTGGGTTGGGAAGCACCAAATCCTAAAGGAAAATAAACTAAAAGCAGCACAAAATAAGCATTCACAGCTCTCAGGTGCTTTGCTAGGTTTGGTGTCAGAGCCAGCAAGGGCAGACACATCCCTGGGAAGCCCAGGTAATGTTATCCTTCATCTGCTTGTTATCCCCATCAGTTCTCCACATATCCCAAATAAAAGGAGCTACTGAGCTCATAGTGAGCTCTTGAGCTTCCACTCAAGCATCCTCTGCTAGTGAGTGGCCTTGAGTTTGTGCAGAGATGAGAGGAGGAATGTGAGAACATACATTCTCCTCCAAGCTGGCAGCTTCACCCTGCCCTTCATCCATCAGCAGGACCATGGAATCATAGGATTCCCTGAGCTGAAAGGGACACACAAGGATCAAAATCCAACTCCTGCCCTGCCCAGGACACCCCAACAACCCACCCTGTGCCTGAGAGCATAGGCCAAACTCCCTGAGCTCTGTCAGGCTGTGACCACTGCCTTGGGGAGCTGTTCCCCAAACCAAACACCTCTGGGGGAAGAACCTGTTCCCAACATCCAACCAAAACCATCTCAGGACCAAACCAATCTCTGTGTGATGCCAGGACCCAGCTGGGATCACATCAGTGCTCAGGCAGGGCCGGCAGGAGCGGCAAATCTCTGCTCCCATTCCCTTTGGCTGCTTTTCCGCTGAAGGAATTGTGCATGTGGTTTTTTGTTTTGGCAACACCTCTGGGGGAAGAACCTGTTCCCAACATCCAACCAAAACCATCTCAGGACCAAACCAATCTCTGTGTGATGCCAGGACCCAGCTGGGATCACATCAGTGCTCAGGCAGGGCCGGCAGGAGCGGCAAATCTCTGCTCCCATTCCCTTTGGCTGCTTTTCCGCTGAAGGAATTGTGCATGTGGTTTTTTGTTTTGGCTTTGAACTTTGGTTTGCAGTGAATTTACACTTTTCCTTTGCTTTGTTGCCATATTTCTGATTGCTTTTTTTTCTTTCTGCCTCCTTTTCTTTTCCATTTCGCCTTGCCATCTGCAGCCAGGCTATGTAAGAGACTTGGTAAGTGACAGCAACAATCAAATTAAGCTAAACTTAAGATAAAATAGTCTAGAACCCCTTGGGTTTAGAGAGCAGCAATGAAAACACTAACATAACCTACACCCTCCCAGAGAAACTTGGGCCCTGGTTGGTTGTTGTCATGATCCCCAGTGATTTATGTTGTGAAAATGGAAAGCCTGCACCAAATTTGCTTTGTTTGCTCACATCCTGTGCCTTAAACTACCCTGAGAGGCTCTTTGCCTCCAGACAGCTCAGATCCATGTTTGCTTTATATGTCTGGACATAAGGAACCACAGAATCATTGAGGTTGGAAAAGACCTCTGAGATCATCAAGCCCAACCTGTGACCTAACACCACCAAGTCAATTAGACCATAGCACTAAGAAAGCTCCACATTTATCTGTGTGGTCACAGGCTCTGAGCACTTGTAGCTCAAATCAGACCTCAGGGTTGGAACTGTTGATTATGTGCTTTCCTGTCCCTGGTGATTCCCAAACACCTCTCAAGTCATTCCTGTTCGCGATGGTGTAGATGACACTGAGGTCCTCTTTGCCTAACTCTGGTATGTCTCACTGCCTGCAGATCACGGCACGGATCCTGGAAGCCCACCAGAATGTGGCTCAGATGAGCCTCATCGAGGCAAAGATGAGGTTTATCCAAGCCTGGCAGTCGCTGCCGGAGTTCGGCATCACTCACTTCAACGCCAGGTGGGTGGGAATGCTGGGCTGGACAGGAGGAATTCTGTTCATAAATCCATGGAGTGTGTTAAATAGCATAGAATTGTCATGTAATGGGTTGGGTTGGAAGGGACCTTAAATATCATCTTGTTCCCATCCCCTGCCAGGAGCAGGGACACATTCCACTAGGCCACATTGCTCCAAGCCCCATCTGACCTGGCCTGGAACACTTCCAGGGAGCTGGTGTTGGCCACCCAGGAGCCCCTTCCCAGCCTGAAGGCTGGAAAAACCCCAAGATGCTTCCTGAGACACTGAAGTGACTCATCCAGCTTGGTTTTACTAGGGGTTAATTTAAGGAGCTCTCTTCAGCCCCTGCTCATCACAGGAAAGCCCCAGGATCTGGGGTGGCCATCGAGAGGATTGGGAAAGCTTTCGGAAAGCCACATGTTCCAGCTGTAGGCAATAACCCAGTTTCATTTGGAGTGGTTGGGAGTCAGTTTGGGTTATCACAGAATCATGGAATGTGCAAGAATAGTTGGGGTTGGAAGGGGTGTTATGGATCATCTCGTCCCCGTCCCCTGCCATGGGCAAGGACACCTTCCACCAGCCCAGGTTGCTCCAAGCTCCATCCAGCTTGGCCTGGAACACTCTCAGGGATGGGCCAGCCACAGCTGCTCTGAGCAACAAATCCCCTAAAATTTGATGTAATCCTTCTGCTGGGACATGGACATGGAGCTGCAGCAATCAGTGCATGGCCAGGGACATCCTTGTGCACATCCTTAGCTGGGGAAGTTGTGCTGGAGCTGAAATTAAACCCCTTAATTGCATTGACTTAGAAAACAGATTGTATAGGTTAACTCAGCTGCTGGATTTATGTGTATGTCAGTCTTGTTTGTGTTAATCCCTTGCCCTGTTGCAGGTTCCAGGGTGGGAAGAAGGATGAGCTGATTGGCATTGCCTACAACCGGCTGATCCGGATGGACGCCAGCACGGGGGATGCTGTCAAGACCTGGCGCTTCAGCAACATGAAGCAGTGGAATGTGAACTGGGAGATTAAAATGGTGAGAGGCTGTTTTATACTTGCTTCCCCTCCTCCTGGCAGTGAGACAGGCACCACTCCTAGGATCACAGATGCCAGAATAGTTAGGGTTGGAAGGGGTGTTATGGATCATCTCGTTCCCGTCCCCTGCCATGGGCAGGGACACCTTCCACCAGCCCAGGTTGCTCCAAGCCCCATCCAACCTGGCCTGGAACACTTCCAGGGGTGGAGTAGCCACAGCTGTTCTTGAGCAACATGTGCCAGTGCCTCAGCACCCTCACAGCCAAGAATTCCTTCCCAATATCCCACTTACCACTGCCCTCTGGCAGTGTAAAGCCATCCCTCCTTTTCCTGTCACTCCTTCCCTTGTCCCAAGCCCCTCTACTGCTCTCTTGGAGCCCCTTTAGCCACTGGAAGGGGCTCTAAGGTCTCCTTGGAGCCTTCTCTTCTCATCTGAACACCCCCAGCTCTCGCACCCTGGCTCCAGGGCAGAGGTGCTCCAGCCCTTGGAGCATCTTCATAGCCACCTTTGAACTCACTCCAGTATCTCCATGTCTTTCTTGTGTTGGGAGCCCAGAGCTGGGCACGGTGCTCCAGTTGGGATGTTACTATACTAATGTACTATAGGTTTTCCTCTCTCCTCTTCCACCTTCCTTGGAGATCGAGGAGACCTTGTCCCATTTGCTGGTGGAGTTGAGTTGTGACCTGTAAAATGAAGGATAACACAGTCAAAGAAAGATTTTCTCTGCTCTCTGAACACCCAAACCAAAATCAAACCTCAGCACTGATGCTCAGGCTGCATCCTAACCAGCAACATAAACATACCAAACTTTATCTATACTGAAATCCCTTTTACTTGCTGTACAGCTCAGGCTTTCATGTAAGTAAGCAGTGAAAAGCAGCAGTAGTCACTTCCCTAGGCTCCACGATGGGCTTTTCCCGTGCTGTTCCATTTGGATGCACAAATTTTTGTGCTCCTTCTTGGCAGAACACCTCATTGAAATTGCCAGAGATCGGTGAGGGCTGTTCTCCTGTGGTTTGTGGCTCATTAAGAGCTGCTGGAAAAATTATTCAGCTTCCCCTCTGCCTCAGTCATTGTTTTGACCCAGTTGCAAGCCCTGATATCCCAATTATTCAGCTTGGATACTCAGCTGGGAATTCCCCTCCCTCCCACAGAGCTGTCAGTGATGGGGGGACAAAAAGAGAAGAGCGTGGACAGAGTGTTCAGTCACTCCAAAAGGAGCTCTCCCAACCCCCATGAAGCATTTTTATGGCCAAAATTAACTTTAAAAAGCAGGGAAAACTGGAAGGAAATCCCAGACTTCAGCAGGTCTGTGCCTGGTCTCTGTTTCTCTGGAAGCAAAGATGTGGCCATGTGCTCAGCACGGAGAGGTGGGAACATGCTGGGTGGTTCTTTCTGAGTTGTGGCGTAAAGGGTGTCATGGGGATTCAAGGAAGCAAATGAAGAAATAAATAGAAAATTAAATACAAGTAAAATAATAAAAAGGCAATAAAAGGTATTTCTGTATGTAAATATTTGGGTAATAATCATCATAGAGTCACACGATGTTTAAAAGGTGGGAGAGACCTGTAAGGACCATTGAGGAGAAATCATCCTTCACAGAATCCTGGAATGGTTTGAGCTGGAGGGACCTTAAAGATCATCTCATTCCACCCCCTGCCCTGGGCAGGGACACCTTCCACTAGCCCAGGTTGCTCCAAGCCCCATCCAGCCTGGCCTGGAACACTCCCAGGGATGGAGCAGCCACAGCTGTTCTGGGCAACCTGTGTCAGTGTCTCATCACCCTCACAGGAAGGAATTCCTTCCCAAAATCCCATCTATCCCTACTCTCTGTCAGTGTGAAGCCATTGCCCCTTGTCCTGTCAGTCTAAACCTTTGTCCCAAATCCCTCTGCAGCTCTCTTGGAGCCCCTTTAGGCACCAGAAGGGGCTCTAATGTCTCGCTGGAGCTTCTCTTTTCCAGGCTGAACACCCTCAGATCTCCCAGCCTGGCTCCATGGTAGAGGTGCTCCAGCCCCTGGAGCATCTCCGTGACCTCCCCTAGACTCTCCCCACCATTGACATCACTGGACTTTGCTTAGGCATTGAAAAAAGTGTCTGAGTAGGAAAAACCAGGGAGAAAGAAGGAATTGCTGTGGAAGGCCTGGCGGGGCTGACACTGTCTCTGCCCTGCAGGTGACGGTGGAGTTCGCAGACGAGGTCCGAGTGTCCTTCATTTGCACAGAGGTGGATTGCAAAGTGGTGCACGAGTTCATTGGAGGTTACATCTTCCTGTCCACACGAGCCAAGGACCAGAATGAGAGTTTAGATGAAGAGATGTTCTACAAACTGACCAGTGGTTGGGTGTGAGCCCCACGGCACCCTGAGGAACCCCCATGGCCATAGTAATATTTAACTTCCCAAAGCTGGTTTTGAGATAATGCTGCTTAATAAAGTAAGCTTGAAATGTATCTCTTTTTTTTTTATCATGGAATTTTGGGGTTTTTTTGCATTACCAGACCAGTTAATCTGTGTGCACTAATGAGCACTTCTGTTAATTTGCTATAACAAGACAGTGTCTGGGCCAGGAGAAGATTTAACTGACTTAAACTAGCCAATTTTGGAAGAGAACTCTAAGCCATCTTTAAAGCCATGCAGGGCTTAACCTATATGAAGTCTATTTATCATGTTTAATGCATGAGTGTTTTATTTCCTTTTTTTTCTGGTGTTTTTTTATGCTGTACATTGGACTGTTTGGAAGTTGTCCTGCTCCTGAGTGGAGCTGCCATCTCCCCTCACACTACACCAGGACTGTGACAGGTGCTTGACATGACCTTGACCATAGTTCCGTGTGGCCTCGAAGATGATCTTCTGTTAGTCTGTTATAGCTTGGATTTTATGTGTTTAATTTGCCTTTTGATAATCATTTATATTGTCTTTTTTTTCTAATTTTATTTGTACACCATATTGTATTATGACACTTTTAGTATTCACCAGCATAGTCACTGTTCTGCCTCTGATATGCAAAAGGTTTTCATTACTATATGAAGTAAAAGGTCTATGAAGTAAAAGGTTTTGTGTAACTAATGTAAAAAACCACAAATTTTATAAGATTGTACAGTTTTTTTAACTCACAAACCATCTAGAATATTCCAGAGACCAGCAGGAACTCTAGGATGTCTGGAAGGGGGATGGGGAGAAACCAAGGAATCAACTCCAAAAATGCCCTTTCAGTCCAGTCAGTGTTTCTCTAAGCTAAAGGGGATTTCAGAGCTGTGCCACAACACCCTCAAAAACTGCTGCCTGGGGCCAGGACTGCCCAGTTCGTTAAGCCATTCCCAGATTAATGCTAATGAGGGATCCCGTGCCCCAGCCAATGCCGAGGGATAAGCAGTGTTGTGTTCCCTTAGTCTGTGGGTTCAAGACTATGTACAAATGCATTTTATTTTAAATAAAAGTCAAATCTTTTATTTAATTTTCAGCTGCTGCTCCTGGTTTTTGGGGTTCAACTGTGCTATGGAAAGGCCAGAAACAAATCCCATAGGATAGAGTCATGCTGTGCTAGCCTTATCCCAAGCTTGCCAAAATAAATGCCATGAAAAAGCAAAGCAAATTACTAGAATCCTAGAACAGTTTGGGTTGGAAGGACTTTCAAGACCTGATTCCCCCCCCTGCCATGGGCAGGGACACCTTCCACCAGCCCAGGTTGCTCCAAGCCCCATCCAACCTGGCCTGGAACACCCCCAGGGATGGAGCAGTCACAGCTTCTCTGGGCAACCTGTGCCAGTGGCTCACCACCCTCACAGCCAAGAGTTTAATCCTAATATCTAACCTAACCCTGCCCTCTGGCAGTGGGAAGCCATTCCCCCTTGTCCTGTCCCTCCAGGCCCTTGTCCAAAATCCCTTTCCAGCTCTCTTGCAGCCTCCTTAGCTACACTTTAGGTCCTCTTTAGATCGCATTCCCTGACCAGGCAGGCAGTGTGGAAGCAGCCCAGGGATAGAATCATTTAGATTGGAAATGCCCTCTATCATCATCAAGTCCAACCATTCTCCCAGCACTGACAAGGCCACCACTAACCATATCCCCAAGTGCCGCATCCACTTGGCTTTTAAATCCCTCAAGGAATAGTGGCTCCACCACTGCCCTGGACAGCTGTGCCAATGTCTGACAACCCATTCCATGAAGGAATTTTACCTAATATCCAACCTAAACCTCCCCTGGCACATACATTTCCCCATTTCTGCACTGATCCTCTTGTGTTTCACACCATGTTCTCCTGGATGAGCTGCACCCTTGTTCCATAAAATCAAGGGAATGATGCTGGGTGTTTCCTCCCATTCTATGTTCCCACCGCAAACTGGAGGAGGTGTGCCTGGGACGTGCCAGGGATGCTCCCAACCCTTCCCCATGCCCGTGGGCTTGTTCTCCTGGATGGTGGCAAGCTCAGGCAGCTCTGAGCCACGCAAACGAACGGAGCGGCTCCGTGCGCTCTCCTGGCAGGAAGCACTGGGATTGTGGCTGGATGCAGGACCAGGTGAGGCATAGCTGGGCTGGAATAGCTCTGAGCTGGATGTGTGATGGGGATGGCTCCTGAAAAATAGTTACCTCCTATTTCCCAGCCTGAGGTTATGCAGGATGGGGAGCTGCAGTGTGGAAAGGAAAGGTGGGGGGGAAAGGATGGATCGAGTCCCTCCTGATCCAACTCCGCAGGGATCCGCTGTGCTGTGCCGCAGTTTGGATTCACAGCTGGGGGAGGTGATAAGGCAGGAAACGCTGAGCAGAAAAGCAGAGGAGGTCGGGGAAGGGGCATGGGAAGGCAGAGGCTGCTGACAACCACAGACCTTCCCTGCACAGCCCCCCGAGGATGGGAGCTGGGAGAAGCCATGTGGGAAGCAGTACAGGAGCTTGCAGGAGGCTGGGAAGCAATGCAGGGGGTGATCTGAGGGATTCTATGATGTCTTTCCTTTCTCCTTGGGTGAAAAGATGCAAGTGAAAATGAGCAGAGTGGGATAAAAAAAAATCTATGGTTTTCCTAAAGTCTGGAGAAACATCACGATGAATGCAGCAGGGATGGGAATGGCCACATGCTGAGGACTGGACATGGGAGCAAGGAGGAAGCATCAGGACCACGTTGTAAAGTGGATTAGGGAGGGAGGATATGAGTTGGAGCCCATGGAAGGGGATGGATGATCCACCTCAGGAACAGGCAGCAGCAAGGACAAGGGGAATCATAGTTATTTTTTCCATGCTTCTGAGCCAAAGGAAACCCAGGATGTGGTGGACACAGGGTTTCCAGAGATGTCGCAAGCCAGGTGGGTTTGCTGGTGTTTGGACACTGAAGCCAAGAGCAGAGGATGAGGAGGACCTTGCAAGCCAAGTCACTGCAAATCTCAGTCCCCACATGGAACTGGGAGGGAGACACAGAGGTTTATTCTGCTGACGCAATAAAATTTGGCTGTGGTTGTCCCTTTTTGGGTAAACAAAGGAGTAAACCAAATTAAAACCAAAACCAAACCCAAGGAGAAACCATCCCGTGGGAGTCCACAGCCCCTGGGGGTGACTCAGCCTCAGGGGAAGAGCTGAGACTGTCTGACATCCATGAACTGCTAGGGAAAAGAGAATTCCTTCCAACAACTTTGACAAGCACATGATCGGGAGGGAGACAACAGGGCAGCTCAACCCCCAGTTTAACCACAGTAAGTAGCAGAGATGCTTGAAAATGGGACAAATCCAGGAGGCAGGGCTAGAGGGTGATGCTCCTCCCTTGCTGACCTTGTTCCTGGCCCTTGAGAGAGGGAAAAGGAAAAAAATACATCATTTTTTGGCAAGGTACTGATGCAAACCGGCTGCCAGGGGGAAACCCACCTCTTCCAGCTCAGGCAGGGGATTTGCATGCCTGTGTGAGCCAGGATGGCCTGGGGGGTCGGCTGGGATTCCTACCGAGTTTTAAGCCCCAAGTAACATAATACCGTGCAGATGGACAAGTCCTGGAGTGGCTTTAGAGCAGCATCAGCGGATTTTGGGATGGGGGAGAGGATGCAGACTCATGGATAATATAAAAACAAAGGGAAAAGAGGATCTCCCAAACAGACCTCTTACCTGCAGCAAGGAGTGGGGAGAGGTGGGTATGGGGACATCCTGCAGACAGGAATTGATGGAAAAGGGACACCTGGGGAAGCTGTTGGGTTGAGGGATTTAATGACCCCCCATCCCTGGAAGTGTTCAAGGCCAGGTTGGATTTTGGTCCCATCTCTGCCCTTCACTGCTTTCCAGTGCCCAGAGCAGCTGTGGCTGCTCCATCCCTGGAATTGTTCCAGGCCAGGTTGGATGGACTTGGAGCTAATGGAAGGTGTCCCTGCCCATGGCAGAAGGTGGGATGAGATGATCTTTAAGGTCCCTTCCAACCCAAACCACCCCATGATTCTGTGATAACCCAAACTGACCCCCAACCGCTCCAAAAGGAATTGGGTTATTGCCTACAGCTGGAACACATGGGTTTGCAAAAGCTTTCCTGTTCCTCCCACCCTGGGATGGCCACCCCAAGCCCTGGGGCTTTCCTGTGGTAAGCAGGGGCTGAAGAGGGAGCCTTAAATTAATCCCTAGTAAAACCAAGATGGATGAGTCACTTCAGTGTCTCAGGAAGCATCTTGGGGTTTTTCCAGCCTTCAGGCTGGGAAGGGGCTCCTGGGTGGCCAACACCAGCTCCTTGGGGTTGGCAGTGTGCAGAGACATCTCCAGATTCCTGGTGCTCACACCATGGGGCAATGCAAGAGCCTTGTACTGCCTTGTCCGACCTCTCCAAGCCCCTCGCTGGGTAGAGCATCCCAGGGCTGGGATCAGCAGTGTCTTCCACCCTGACCTGCCCCATGAGCCGGCAGAGGGACCCTCTGAGGTCACTCAGGACCATCTGGGATTTACCTGGAATTGACTGGGGATGCAGGAAACCCAGACCTGTTGGCTCCACTGCCAGCCAGGATCTAGCCTAGACCTGGAACTACATATGGATGTGAGCTTCCTGCCCAGGTGCATTAACCCTTGTCTCTGACGCAGGAAGAGGTGGTGAAGACCCAAAGCCCTCAGTGATGGCACCAGGAGTGGCTTCATCAGCCTAATTAAATCCAGCCTGATCAGTGACCACACTCCAGACTCAAAACCTTTCTGCAAACCAGAGGGGGTTTATTTGTTTGCTTTCAGTCTCGCAAGAGCTCTGTGTCTTTTATTTGTGGCACTGAGGCACTAAAGAGATAAAAGATCTATAAATATCTGCTGCATGTTATAGATTTAGAAGAAATTAAGTGCCTTCATGTTTGCAGCAATTCCTGTAAGCACTAGTGCAATGAGGTCCAGGCAGCCCCTGGACTCCTGTTTC